TTTGGGATTCCCCGTTATCAGGCTCCTATTTACAAACATCAGCGTCTCCTTCTCGTATGATAACATTAAACACCGAGTGTATTGAAATATCACAGATTCCAGGTAACGATATAGGTCTCCAGCAATGTATACTTGTCGCACACTGTGGGTCGTGTGGACAGGTTCGTTGACCTGCTTGACTGCCTGTTATCTCATTTCACATTTATGGGCTGATGGATTGAAATCATGATTATTATTTTATCTCTTTAGTATGTATGTATGTATGTATGTATGTATGTATGTATGTATGTATGTATGTATGTATGTATGTATGTATGTATGTATGTATGTATGTATGTATGTATGTATGTGTGTGTGTGTGTGTGTGTGTGTGTGTGTGTGTGTGTGTGTGTGTGTTATTATTTAACGTGGCAATATGCATGTGTGTGTGTCTGATGTATTTATATATGTGTGTGTGTGTGTGTGTGTGTGTCTTTGTAATTGGATACTTTCTTAATCGTAGTCATATAAAACACTTATTCTGTTGGCCCCTACCTCATAAAATCTCATAAAAATGGAAATGAATCAGCAATATTTCACCTCTATTGTAGAAGATAGTGATTATGTGTGAAATGTATAGGGCGTCAATCCCATTTCAGTTTACTCAATGACAAGCAAAACGGCAAACAAATAGTATTGTGAGTCCACACAGGGGACACAGTGAAACCTGTTCTTATTAACCCAGACTAGTTGTTGTGCCATCCTGTTTCAATTAATACCATGTTAATATGATCTGTAGAAAGGGGTTAATAATCGTCTCTCAGTTTCATTATAATATTTTGAATTATCATTCTAAAGATTGCTACTTTAACACACCCAAAATTACCCTGACATTGATCTATCACAAACGTTCTTCTATAGTTAGATTGAACATGCTATGCCGGTATCCAAATTGAGTTTTCTTACAGAATCCCCTTCTGGGATGGCACATTGTGACAAGAAGAGCGTGTGTGTGAGTTTAGTTTTATGCCGCACCAAGCAATATCGAGTCTGGACCAGACAATCCAGTGATCAACAGCATGAGCATCGATCAACGCAACTGGGATACGATGACACGTGTCAACCGAGCCAGCAAGCCTGACCACCCGATCCCGTTAGTCGCCTCGTACGACAAGCAAAGGTTACTGAAGATCAATTCTACCCCGGATCTTCACGGGCCGTGACAAGAAGAAGACACGGCTGCTCTGACTCCGATACTGAAGCTGTTTCTGCTGACACACACCAGTGTTTCCGCTTGATTAATCAAGAGCGTCGTTGTTTGAACTTCTGAGGTTGTCGTTTGCTAACAGATACAAGCTCCGACCGTCATGGATAGAGGGTCAAACCGGAAACTTTTCTCCACACGTCTAGCATAAAACTTTTTTAAAAAGCTTTACTGAGGCTTTGAATGTTGTAACATTGATGGAACAACTTCTATCAGGGTATATATAGAAGTTTGCATATTATAATCGACTGATGTAGCCTAAATATACAAGCATACTGCACTGCTTTCTCGTTGCAGTGTGTGCCAGCTTTAACCCGTGGACAAACAACGCCCTTAGAAAAATGCAAACAACAAAGCTCTTGATATATGAGGGCGGTGGGGTGGCCTAGTGGTTAAAGCGTTGGCTCGTCACGCAGAAGGCCCGGGTTCGATTCCCCACATGGGTAAAATGTTTGAAGCCCATTTCTGGTGTCCCCCGCCATGATATTGCTGTAATATTGCCAATAGCGGCGTTAACCCACACTCACTCACTCACTCTTGATATATGAGCTGGGACAGAGATGATTGTCAACTAAATAATTTGTGTCTTGGAGTGAGCGTCGCAATGCCCGTTTTTATTCTCTTCACAAATGTGCCAACATATGCAAAGTCTAGTCTATTGTTCACCTGAAATAATTCGGGAACGTATGGTATAAGTCAAAAAAGGGAATTGCATCGGACATCACTTTTCTCACTGATGCATCAAACTTGACCTCCATATGTCTACAATAAAAGCTCTTGAAAGCTTTACCAAGGCCTTGTATGTTGTAACCTTGATCGAACAACTTTTGAGCCAGAGTGGTATGACGCTATTTGAAATCCTAACAAAAGGAGCACGCTCGAGTGAACCTCAAAAGCTGTTAAATGTAAACACCAAAGACTGGAGCTGACAGAAGTTTGCTCGACATGAAAGAAGTGGACTGCTGGAAAGTTGAAATCATCTCTTATGTCATACAGCCTTGTGGAGAGTTTACTGTCTCTCTGAATCTTATGCATAGATCTAAACATGAAACAGTTGAGGCGGTCTCACGTGTTTCCTAAATTTCAAGTTGTGGTGGGTAAATCAGTGGAAGACAATTGGCTATTTCATGGTTATTGTACGATATTAGATCAGTGATGTACCGGAAGCCTAGTAGTAAACTACGTTATACGTCTTGGCTAAATTACCTTGTTTTGATTTTTCCAACCCAAGTAGAAGGAAACCCAAGAAACAGATCCCCAGGGGAGCACAATCCGTGCCTATAAGGATGCTTAGCTACTTCTTGGCGAAATGTTTTACCCCCAAAATTTCACAGAGATGTTATCAATGAGATGGCACATTCTCCTGAACATCTATAGAGAGATATGTAGACCAGGGCTCCAGATAACGGACATATCGGCGTATGTACGGATACAAAATATGCACGATACGGTAGGAAATAATTTAGGAAACGTAGCAGATACGCACCACAGCAATGGTGTACGTTCGTAGAATCATTTACAGACGTATTTATCTGAAAAAGTATTGTTTTATTGTTTATTGACCTGTTTACACAAGAGTAGCAATGTTGTTGTGCATTAGTGAAACGAAACACAAGTTTACTGATACTCCATTAAATTCCATTTTCCACTACTCCTATATTAAATAAAAATAAGGAGTACGTACTCGTGATGTTGAAAAATTATCTGGTGCCCTGTACTGTAGATATATCTTTGTTCGCAACGTTTGTCTACATATGCCCCATGGATCAAGGAATGAAGTCTTTCCTTAAGTTTGTCATTTGGGACAATGGTACACAATGTTGGAAAATCAAATGTTTTGACAAAACGGAACTCGGTCCGTTTCTGAGATTGTAAAAATGTAAGCAAATCCTTTGAATATTTAAGAATCCACATGGTATTAATTCCGCTTGTCTTCCGCGATGCTTCTAAGATAGTTTGACCTGAGGGTGAGGATTGAGTTCTTTTCACGAAACACTCCACGATCATCTCCCCTGCTTTATATCTAAACCCCATTTCATGGAGAGCAGTGATAGGAGCTGTTCTTGTTACACATGATGGTATCATTGATCTCTTCACTAATGATACGGAAGGTTGGTGGAATCTTCCTGTCATATAACTCATATACTGCTCTCCTTATGGTCCCGTTATCAAAGTTATCCAATTTGTGTTTGCGGCCTGGTTTTGCTTTTGAGACGACCCCTCCTACCTGTTTGTTTTTATTTACTACACCTTCCCATATGGCAGGCCCAGGCTGCACTAGTTCTATGATATACCCTGTCATATCTGAAGAGCGGTTTCCCCCTCTCCCTCTCCTGCACAAAATACTTGTAGACATTAGGGTCACAGGCCCTCGTGCTTTTCTTAGACCTGGAGTCATTAATCCTTCACCGCCTCCTCAGCAAGAAAAACCCACACTCTAAATTTCAAACACTCACCCCATGGAAGTCAATACTGTCATACAACAACAATCTACAACCAAAACCGAATAAACAGCCCAACATCTTCCCCACAGACACCATCCAATCCACAAAATTCTGCTCTGTTCGTAACTATACTACCCATCAAAAGTTTAGACTCACTTAAAGCATTCACTATATGTTTTGCATGCACATATGGTTACATCGAAGATGAATTTCTCGACTAACTTGAGGGAACCAACTTCAAACCTTATGCAGGTGAATTACACGAGGATCTCATCATCAACTTCAGAGTAATTGCAGTATTTACATATACGTTGATTTAATGGAGTTTTGGGGTGGGAAAACCGACCAACTTCTACCTCCAAGGGGAGAGAGCCACATCTCAATTTTGCGAGAACACTTCGCCGAGAGCGGTCGGAGACTGAACGAACATAATGTGAAACTGCCAGAGTATTCTTGAATAATCTAAATGTTCTCAGTTTGTTACCATTGGCCTGTCTATTATCATTCCATAAACTTCGATACCAAACTTCGTGATCAATGCTAATTATGCTATCTCTAATAACGAGAAAATCCCTGTGAGTAACTGCGAAAACGATAAAGAGCTAACCCCCAAAACACGACTGTAATGAGGAGCAGCCATCTCTCTTGAAACTCATACGCCCCGTGAAGATCCAGGGTAGAATAGGTCTTCAGCAACCCATGCTTGCCACAAAAGGCGACTAACGGGATCGGGTGGTCAGGCTCGCTGACTTAGTTGACACATGTCATCGGTTCCCATTTGCGCAGATCGATGCTCATGCTGTTGATCACTGGATTATCTAGTCCAGACTCGATCATTTACAGACCGCTGCCATATAGCTGGAATATTGCTGAGTGCGGCGTAAAACTAAACGCACTCACTTGAACCTCATACGCCAACAGAATGCAACCGTTGTGGACGATATGTAATCCATGTTGTTGCAGTAGGCGTAGGGAAAGTCGCATTTACTGTTCATATCTAAGTGAAACTGCCTGTTGGTCCCTGCCTGGCGCTCGGCATTAATGGGTACAACAAGGACTGGTCGGCTCGGAGTCAGTATAATGTGTCTGAGTGGCGTATTCATGCTTCACTGCGGCATGGTATCTCAGTGGGCTAGCACTATAAAACCAGCTTAAGTCTGGGCTAGTACAAGCAGCCGCACATACACATACACACGCATGCATGTCGTCATATGAGCGAAATATTCTCAAGGATGACGTTAAACCCAGTTTCACCTCATCTCATATCTAAGTGAAAAGCTGAAAACCCCCAACAGGAGTGTAATCAGAAACAGTGACAATTCTTGATGTTTATTCGCATACAAAATACAACTGTTGTACACGATATACACCCGCCATGTTTTATAGACTTAATGAGATCTACAAACATAGACTCGCTGACAGACAAACGGACTGCACAATTATATAATGTCACTGGTAGCATGAAAGGGTTTACGCTGTTATAACTGAATTCGATCCATATTTAAAAAGGAACCTGCATTTGTCACATAACAAAAACATGAAAGAACAACGTAACTTGGACTTAAAAGATGATTTTATGACTTCAAAATATGAGTGATGCAAAATTCCACAGTGAATGTATTTTATGTTGGAGGTGAAGGATCTTTCATCATGACAGATGAAGCGGGACAGCAAAGTCCGTTGACCACTCCTCACTACTGCAAGTACGTATCGTCATGTGGTGATTGGTGTCTTTGATGGTTACATTAAAGACGCCCATTTCGGGTCTTTCACCAGCTCCCCAAACGTGGTCCCCTGATACCCAACCTCATGAGGCGGCAGGTCGGTGAATTTGATGTAGTTCCTGAAAACAGAGAAAAACCGGAAATGAGAATTTTGAGTCTGTATGATGCAACGGACATGAATACTGACCAAGGTCATCTACGCCGTCATATGTCGTGATGTCAATAGATCAGTAGAGGTTTCATTGTAACATGATATAGTTATCAATATCGATTCATGACAAATATTTAACTGCAGCAGAAATGTTTTGGCATAACTACCTCGGTACACACACGCACGCACGCACACATGCACACACGCACACAAGGACATAAGCACATATGCACATACATCAACTCAAAAGACATATTTAGACATTATTATACATATTTCAACATGTGAGATATTTTCTTTCATATAACGTTGGGTGAATCTAGCTTCAAGCCTACGAGACTATCATGATATTGTGTCATCATCGAAAAGAAATGAATTGTGACATCACCTAGCTTGTATCAATACATACATGGATGCATGCATGCAGATTGTTGAAATACTTCAGAAAATCAAACAAGAAAGTTGTGTTATTTCTTACCTTCTGTTGTCAATTCCAAGTTTGCTTTGTAGGAATTCTGAGATTTGTTTAGACATCTCAGCGTTCTCCGCGGCACTGATGTGTCCGATAGCCTGCATCTCGGAGTTGGCACATGGGTCAGTCGTACCCCCGTGGGTCATCATCTGACCTGGGTGAATCCTGACTGTTATATACTGAAATGATGCAAGATACCTGAGTGAATGATCGAGCTAGATCTGTACAAATGATTGATAAGGTTGAAAAAATCATTTGTATGGGTGATTAATTAAGTGGAGTGAATGATTGAGTAGGTTGGGCGAATGAGTGAATGATTTAGCTAGATTTGTGAATGATTATAAGTTTAAAAAAAATCATCTGTATGAGTGATTTAGTTGAGTAAATGATTGAGTACGTGTGATGAATGATTGAAATGATTGTGTATGATTGCGTTCAGCAACGAAAAATGTATTCATTCCTTACCTTAAATATCAAATTAATGTTCGTAATTGTTTGACAGTTGGTGACTTAGGGTGCGCGCCTATGTGTTTGGTGTCCTGCATCCATCAAGCACACTGGAGTGAGTGAGTGAGTGTGTGAAGCAATATACTAGCGGGGACACCAGAAATGGGTTTCTAACATTGTACCCATGTGGCGAATCCAACCCGGCCCTTCGGCGTGACGAGCGACGAGCAGACGCTTGATCGACTAGGCTTTCTAGTGCATGAGAGAATGAACTTACTGCTTCTGGTTTCCGAATAGCTTTGGCGATGACTTTCGTGGTTTCCGACAGAAACCCCTTTGGGAGGTCACTCGCTGGCACGTTCGTGAAGAGAATAAAACACGGCATGGCTATCCTGGCTCTGAGACTGAAGATTTTCTACTGACACACTTCGCTGTCTTCGCTTAAATAGCGAGAGACTTATTGTTTGGGCTTTAGACACGCGTTGTTTGGCAAAGCTTCAAGCTACACTTACCATGAGTAAGCATAACATGCGAGTCCTTGAGAAGCGTCTCAATGGTACATTGTGTACAACTGAAAGGTGTTTTTTGAAACCACATCGGTTGAATACATCAGGTAAATAGACTGTCAGCAGTTTCTAAAAGAGCTCATAACGATGACTGGCGTCTATAACATTTTAACTAGAAGTAAACATGAAAATTGTTCGAAATTGAAGTAATTTACTGTTATGTTGTAGATTTGAAACACATGAGTGAGTGAGTTTAGAGTGTGTGTGTGTGTGTTTGGGGGGGGGGGGGGCGTGACGAGCGAACGTTTTACCCACTAGAGTACCCCACCACCCCCCAAGACATACAATAAAACATACTGAAACATACACGGGAATATTTCATTTGAAACCTCCGGCTGACGCAGTCGGTTCCAAATGAATTCCCGTGTTTCAAATACTCAATAACACCGCCAACACATGATGTTTATCTCCTAATTACACTAGTGTAATACCGCTAAACGTATTACGGTTACAGTTATGACGTCACAATGCTAATACATTACATTACTGTCACAATGGTATTAGACCTTGCTTGACTCGTTGAAAGCTGAGAGTCATCACACTTCGTAGGCAGTTTCTATCAGTTTATTAAACTCATGGGAGATTTACCAAATCAATTAATAAAAATGGTATTACACGGAAGTGAGTTTAGTATCCTCTATATATCGGGTGGTAAGACAAGGTTATTAAATTGATTGTGTCTCACCATGCCCTTGTGCTCATAATATCAATCACTAGTTCCCTGATCCAGATTCGACCATCTACAGGACCTATCACACCGTTGGAATTTACGGTATTAGACAACAGTCACACATAATCATGCAAAGAATGCAATATCTTTTTGCTTTAGCTAAGTGGGTCAGGTGTTCGCTGTTTTCTGGATCCCATTTACGAACATCAGAGTCCCTATGATAAAGGGATCAAAGACCGTCTGTATCAGTATATCACAGACCGGTGCAGATTGCACGTAGCAATATGGGTCTCCCAGGCAACGTGTGTTTGTCGTAAGTCGAGATATGTAGGTCATGTGGTCAGCCGAGGTGACCTGCTTGATTCCGTGTTATTGGACTGTGCTTCTCAATCAGATCAGCATCAACATTTGTCAACTGTGATAACAATGAATAATAATTCTCATCACCAAGAACCATGCAGGCACACAAACAGGCGCGCACACCACACGCACAGAGAGAGAGAGAGAGAGAGAGAGAGAGAGAGAGAGAGAGAGAGAGAGAGAGAGAGAGAGAGAGAGAGAGAGAGAGAGAGAGAGAGAGAGAGAGAGAGAGAGAGAGAGAGAGAGAGAGAGAGAGAGAGAGAGAGAGAGAGAGACAGAGAGACTGAGAGACAGAGAGAGAGAGATAGAGAGAGATGTTTGGAAATACTTTTTTCAGTTTTTTCAGAACTAAATTTCTGGTTGCTTCTATCCCATATGCCATCGCTAGAAAAAAATTTGTTATAGACATTGAAACATTTCTCACAAGTACACATGCACCATGACTGGTGAGGTGAATCAGCACTATTGAACTTTGATCATAGGTAATTGCAATCACGTATGGAATCTGCCAAGTCACAGAGCCACAGCATCATTCAGTTTACATAATGACAAGCAGAAAAAGGAAGCCTGTGAGACTGGATCCACACATATGGTCCATCGATCTCATTCCTACTGAAAGATGTCCATTTTAATATGCTCAGCCACCGGTTCCATGTCAATATGTGAGTTTATGAGAGGGGTTTATAATGAGTATTTTATAGGGCTTTGTATTGGCAAATAAATTGTTTTGAAAATATATTGTGATTCTGGTACCCGTAATGCGATACGTATTGCGGTATATTGGGAGCTTAGTGTTTGATAGAAAGTGACACTAATTGTGCATGTCAATCCTATTTTCTACATTATCAGCCCGTAAACATATATATGTTATGGTTCTGATAACAACAACCTTAAAATTAGGTTGCATAGTCAGGGATTTCCTTTTCTTTCTTTTTTATACATTCAATATAATTTGTAGTATAACAGTATACCGTTTTGTCAATGGCTAACGAAGGAAAACATGTGTTGTGACTGGCAGTATGTGTAGATTTTGATTTAAACCATAAGGATAATTAAAAAAATCATATATGTTCTTTACCCAATAAACCGGTTCTCTGAAAAAATATGGCAATACGCGTACGTATCGTTTATTAAGGGTTTTGTTATACACCGGTAATACCGTGCAGTCCATGTATATTAGAGGTCTGACATGGCTAAACATGATATTTAACACACCTTTTCATAATACCCCGACTGTGTATATCAGTTGTTGCTTGTTATCACATCCCGACATTGTATATCAGTTGTTGTTTATTATCACATCGAGACAGTGTATATCAGTTGTTGTTTGTTATCACATCCTGACAGTGTATATCAGTTGTTGTTTGTTATCACATCCAGACAGTGTATATCAGTTGTTGTTTGTTATCACACCCCGAAAGTGTATATCAGTTGTTTTTTGTTATCCCCCCCCTACAGTGTATATCAGTTGTTGTTTGTTATCACACTCAGACATTGTATACCAGTTGTTGTTTGTTATCACATCCTGACAGTGTATATCAGTTGTTGTTTGTTATCACATCCCGACATTGTATATCAGTTGTTGTTTATTATCACATCGAGACAGTGTATATCAGTTGTTGTTTGTTATCACATCCTGACAGTGTATATCAGTTGTTGTTTGTTATCACATCCAGACAGTGTATATCAGTTGTTGTTTGTTATCACACCCCGAAAGTGTATATCAGTTGTTTTTTGTTACCCCCCCCCCCCCCTACAGTGTATATCAGTTGTTGTTTGTTATCACACTCAGACATTGTATACCAGTTGTTGTTTTTTATCACATCCTGACAGTGTATATCAGTTGTTGTTTGTTATCACACACCAACAGTGTATATCAGTTGTTGTTTGTTATAACACCCCGACAGTGTATATCAGTTGTTGATTGTTATCACATCGAGACAGTGTATATCAGTTGTTCTTTGTTATCACATCCCGACAGTGTATATCAGTTGTTGTTTTTTATCACATCCTGACAGCGTATATCAGTTGTTGTTTAATATCACATCCCGACAGTGTATATCAGTTGCTGTTTAATATCACATCGAGACAGTGTATATCAGTTGTTCTTTGTTATCACATCCTGACAGTGTATATCAGTTGTTGTTTGTTATCACATCCCGACAGTGTATATCAGTTGTTGTTTTTTATCACATCCTGACAGTGTATATCAGTTGTTGTTTGTTATCACATCCCAACAGTGTATATCAGTTGTTGTTTTTTATCACACCCCGACAGCCTATATCAGTTGTTGTTTGTTATCACATCGAGACAGTGTATATCAGTTGTTGTTTGTTATCACATCCCGACAGTGTATATCAGTTGTTGTTTAATATCACATCCCGACAGTGTATATCAGTTGCTGTTTAATATCACATCGAGACAGTGTATATCAGTTGTTCTTTGTTATCACATCCTGACAGTGTATATCAGTTGTTGTTTGTTATCACATCCCGACAGTGTATATCAGTTGTTGTTTAATATCACATCGAGACAGTGTATATCAGTTGTTGTTTGTTATCACACACCCACAGTGTATATCAGTTGTTGTTTGTTATCACACCCCGACAGTCTATATCAGTTGTTGTTTAATATCACATCGAGACAGTGTATATCAGTTGTTCTTTGTTATCACACCCCGACAGTGTATATCAGTTGTTGTCTGTTATCACACCCCGACAGTCTATATCAGTTGTTGTTTAATATCACATCGAGACAGTGTATATCAGTTGTTCTTTGTTATCACACACCAACAGTGTATATCAGTTGTTGTTTGTCATCACACCCCGACAGTGTATATCAGTTGTTGATTGTTATCACATCGAGAAAGTGTATATCAGTTGTTGTTTGTTATCACACTCCGACAGTGTATATCAGTTGTTGTTTGTTATCTCATCCCGACATTGTATATCAGTTGTTGTTGGCCATTGACCGCCAACACTGTATCAGAACTTCTGTGTCATTGTGTAAGTTTGACTCATAGAAATAAATCGACCCCGAGATTCCACTTGTTAATGTTTATTACATACCTAGTTGATCACAGTCTGCATAATGCTCTCTGTTGGGACACAAGTGAAATAAAATATATTTGTCATTAAACTATTCAACTTTCAAATCAAATCATCATCACTGTGTTCAAGTTAAAACATATATAGTTCTGTAGAAACGATCATGTACAGTTCAGCGCGGATAGATAGATATAATAAAATCTAAACGTACTAACAGATGAATAGGGAGAATATCAGACTATTATTAATATAATGCATGGATACGTTCGAGACTGATTGACATATCTTTAATCTCTGCATGGTTTTGTTGGACGTTGATCTTTGACACTACAAGTGTGCAGTGTCGTGTCAGTCACCATTAATTTGAATTAATTAATATAATTTCAGTGAGACCCGTGAAGATCCGGGTTAGAATTGGTCTTCAGCAACTCATGCTCGTCGTAAGAGGCGGCCGACGGAAACGGGTGGTCAGGCTCGTTGACTTGCAATTGGTTGACACGTGTCATCTCATCCTAATTGCGTAGATCGATGCTCATTATATTGATCACAGGATTGCCTGGTCCAGACTGGATTATTTACAGACCGCCGCCGTATAGCTGAAGTATTGCTGAGTGCGGTGTTAAGCAACAACCTACAAGCTAATGATTTCAGTGATATTTTCAAGCTTCTGAGAGTTACTCTTACACTTCCGCACGTATTGTGACGTAGATGTGAAAACACATCAATCATTAATATGCCAGTGACATGAAGTCTCTACAACTACTACTATCATGAGTTTATTGGCGGATCT